TTGGGAAAACAACCACCTGCAGAACCTATAATTGAAGATGCAGAGCCGCCGTTGGAGTTGCCGCCTTATACAGAGGAGCAGAGCAAGCTTATTCTAAATGCAATAAACCAACAAGGTGCTGAGCAACTAGTAAGGTTTGTATTTAGCAAATTAAAAAAAWATAGTTTAGTTACTGTCTTTCTTTTTAGATATGATATAACAAAAGCGCGTGTTAACAAACTGAACAACTGGAAGACGCGAAACGGTCCACTGCGGGAGCTAAGTGATATATTCCTCATTGATGGCTTTGGCTTAAAGGTGGTTACCAAGTTTTATAAAAGTTTGCTGGAACCGGCGCCCAGTGCTTCGAGTGGCACTAAAACTACAAAGGCTTCCCGGACAGCGCCATTTATTACACCAGCTTTAGATGAGCAGCAAAGGCTGCGCATTTCGTCCACTGTTGGAGTGCGGATAGGAGTTACGAGCGTTAGTTGGGCAAGGCTGGAATTGCCACAGACTAAATACTCACCTAGTCTGCTGACTCACTGGCAGCATCACGAAATAAACGACAAGAAATTACATCTGGTCGAGCTTGTGCGCCGTTGCCTTTATGTCGCTCATCAAATACCCCAAGCTGATTGCTATGTCCTGGAGAACCCACAAATGGCACAGGCCAGCAGCAATCCCGGCAGCATTGACCAACAGAATGTGAACATCCAGAAGGCGCAAGTCACTTCGATGCTAAGCTACGCTTTGATGTCGCGCACCAGTTCCGACGAGAGCAAAACAAACGTCTTTTACCTTCGTCGCTTTCTTACCGCACGCCTTTTCAATCATCTGGTGGGAACTGAACGCGTTTCCTCAGAGGAAACAATTCTTGGCATGATGCGGACGTACTATAATATGGAGGATTATCGAGATCAAGACGAACAGAGTAATCTGCAAAATCAAGTGCAGTTTCCTTCAGATTTGCGCACAATGTACTCCAAGGTTGAGCGCTATCAAAGGGAGCTGCTTGGGCAGGCTTTTCTGTTAAATTTGGCTTTTCTCCGCCTTGTGGTTCTGCGGGATCAGGTGAGCATTGCAAGTGTATCGCGGAACTCCAAGAAGCTACCCAGCGAACAGGAACTGGAATAAAATAGTAATTTTGTTATATATGTATATTAGGTGTTTGTTAAAAATATATGTATATAAACTTTTAATTGAATTGAAATTGGTTTCTATATTCTTACCATCTGTTTAAAAAGAGTATTCAAGCTTCGGCGCATACATTATTGTCCATTTATATATTATGTATTTTCTGAGGTTTTAGTACTTGTGGGTTGCGGTCACACTGCAGCTTTTAGTTTGTTATTTCGTTTCGACGTAGTTGGACG